GCTTTTAACCTCTTTACGGTGGCCAATTTACGTTTTCAACTCAGTTGTTAACCCTAAATTATCTGTCATACTCTCTCACCGACGCAGCACCACAGTTTCCTTAGGTGACGAATCATAGTTTCAATTTATTTTTGAAAACTTCCTCAAAAAAATCAAATGGAGTCGCAATCAAATGAAATAGCAATTTTTTTTACCTTCGGTTGAAATTTATGGAAGGAAATGATCCTCATCGGTAAGCTGTAATTGAAAGAAATTGCAGAAAAGAATCTTGAAAAAGTTCAGGCCTCGACGAGATTCGAACCTCTTCCTTTAGACACTAATTGGGCGCCACAACCACCTGAGTTACGAAACCACATGTTCAGAGCAAGGCCTGGGGGCAGTTGTCGGTGGGCCTCGCTTCAAAACAAATGAAGCTGATCTTGAGTCGCCAACCGGCTGATATGACCGAGACCGGAAACGTTAAGTATAAAGTTTCGAGAGTAACTCAAAACAGGTAAATTGCAGCAAATGAATTAATTTTCAAAAATATTACCAATTACTTTCGTTACCCTGAAATTATCAATATTATCAAAAATAAAGTTGCCAATATGGTCAACATGAACAGCGAGAATTTCGGGAACGAATCATAAACGTACTAGTTTTTTGCCACAACGTGTTAATAATTACTCCAATGGACGAGGGTACATTGATTCATCATCACTTCCTGGCAGCATGTTTGGTAACTAGGTTAAGCCTTAACTTAGTTACCAAACATGCCGTCGGACAACCCATAAAAATAAACAAACTCAGTGCAGCTTCGTTAGAAACTACTCAGAGTCCCTTGATGGACGATATCAGATAACTTCTATCGGCCACGTTTGCATTTGATACAAAAAAGGTTATCAAGTCTCTTATTTACAGTTTAACCCTTTAACTCTCAAAAGTGATTAACATCTTACTTCTCCCTATAATATCCATACATTATCCAACAAACAAGTAATAAGAAAACACAAACGTATCAGTAGTTGTTATCTTGATCTAACACCAAATTCTCGTCACTAGTTTACAAGTAAGTGTGTGGCAGCTAAATGGGAGAGTTAATTAATCAGATCTTGGAAGTTATGTCCTCTGTTAGGTTTCGAAACATCGACAACTAATAATCATTCCATACAAACAACGGGACTTTCCCTAAATTAGTCAAGCAAACAGCTGTTTGTCAAGATAACCTGGGAGAGACTTACTCTAGCTTACGTACTGCTGCCCAAGCAGCCGGGCCGTTCACACGGTTTGGTCTTGAGTCAAGAATGTAGGAAGAGATGAGGCGAGGAAAGTGTCATTTAAAAGGTAAAAAACACGAATGTATGTCTAACACTGAGTTCCTTGAGCCACTTAACTGACAGGAAACAACAACAATCAAATATCGTCTGAGCAAGTTAACATCAAATACAAAAGCGGAGAGCAATAAAATCCTTCGCTTCAGACACCAAACTAAGACATTTGACGTTTACAAAAGACACTATGAGTAGCAGTACGCTGATAGAGGTGTTTGGCCATATCTTATTCAGTTTTACACGAGGCGTGACAGAGCATTACTTCCCAGAAGAACCTGAATCAATGGCTTTTGGTTACGATCCTCTACAGGGGACTGGTTTGGAATGGAACTATCAACCTGTTGAGGAGGTTATTTATCAGGAATACAGCGAGAGTGAAGCAACTAGCTTGGATTATTTATTGGCCTGCAGTCCTAAGGTAAGAGTCATAAACGCATTCTCATCAGACGACGATGAAGAAACACACGAAAACAACTCACAAGATGATGAAGGTAAAGCAATGGCGTGGAAGCGATTAAGAACATCCGCTCTCCACACTGCGTGGAAATCAATGTACTTTGGAGCCTCGATCTCACTTCTAACTGCTACCGTCATAGGTTCACTATACCTATTGATTTCATTTCTACTGTACAAAACTGTAAACAACTGCGAATTTTTACCCAAAGAAATCCATTCCTGGGAAAGTTCAATGGTTAAGATCAGTATCAGATATAATGTGTTGTAGCATCATATATAATAGTTTTCTTTTGGTGGTCCTATTTCTCTTTCGACCTTATCAGATCAAGGGAATAAGAAAAAACTTATTTCAGCGAGCTGCTGTGGATTTCTATTGGATGCACTTTACCGCGTGTCTCTTCAAGCCCTCGGAATATCCCATTCTAAACTTTCTACGATACAAAAGCTTCCACTGCACTTTCTCAGTTTCGTAAGTTTTTCTCGGCAAATACAACTTGTAACGAATCATTTTCTATCACGACAATCAACAAGGCAGGGGATTACGTTTTTTTTTTCAAGTGGCAATTGCTCTTGTATCCACTGTCATCCTTGCAATTCCGGTGGCCGAGATCATCTACCCAACTTTTAATAAACAAACCATGAATGGCAAACTATTAATCGCTCTCTTTGCGCCTCTAATTGGAGTCGTTCTAAAGGTTACCTCACGAATTTGTGTTCAGCGGCTTCACCGGGATTACATTCATCCGGGATATTTATATGTCTTACTGGCGCCGTTGTTCGGCTCTTCGGCGATAATGTTTCGTGTTTTACAAGCGGATCTCGGCAGTTTACAATACATCGCGATTCTAGGGATAACTCACGGGTTTGTGGAAGTAAGCAGAGTACAAAATGAAATGGAGATATTTTTACATTAACAATAGATCTCGCTTTCCTTGATAACCTAGAAGATGAACCTTTCCCTACCAGAAAAGCGTTAAATGAAAAAAAAATTTGGCGATTAAGGGAAAATTAATAAATAATTTTTGTGAATAAATGGAAAATTGAGTGCTATTAACCTACCATCGGCGACAAAAGTTGTTAACACACTGACCTTTTCAACCTCTTATTACTTCAGTTGTATCGATTTTGACCTTGTTACTTGATTCCATGAACCTTTGGGGGAAGGGGTGGGGGGTCTTATCATTGATTTAGAGAGTGGTTGAGAAATGACAAATAGGAAAGGTTTGTGGGGAATTGTTCAATTTCCACTTTTGTGGAATGCATGAAACACAGCCTAACCAAGAATTTCGCTTAATTGTATTTTCATATGACACTTGTCATTCACGTCAGCTTATTTTTGCAATTTTTTTTATCAAGCGAAATTTGCAAAATTAATTAATGTGTAGCATTCGTTTCATAGAGCATAATTATTGTAGGATACACTAAATCATTGTATCCTTTGCGATAGCCACAGAGTTTTATTTTACGTAAAAGATTCGGCAAGTGACGTGAGTAACGATAACGAACTTTCTCTATAACAGCTGCGTGACAAAAGTTATGGTATGGAAAATTGGAGACTGACAATCTGCACCCCCACCCTGTTAAATTTTACGTATCTTACTGGTTGAACGTTACTGGGCACTAACATCAATAAACTTGTAAAATTTTCAGCTCGCTCTACACGCGATTTACGCGTCAAAATGAAGCGAGGAAATAAAGTCTTAACTCGATTTGCAATTCTAGTTCTTTTCGCTTGCTTCATTTACCCAAGTCTACTTTATAAGTCAATAACATCGTTTACAACGGAAGAAATCAATTCAAATCACCGTGGTTCCGCTCGGTCGAATTTGATGCAACCAAAACAACTCGAAGAGTGCAATTAGAAACAACCTCGGCGTCATCACAAAATTGCGTCAAACACTCCATGGATGACTTTCCAAAAAGTTATACGACCCAGTATCAGCGACGGAAGCAAAGAGGTGTTGTAATTCATTTTCTTCTGGCCATTTTTATGTTTGGAGCATTGGCCTCAATATGCGACGATAACTTCGTTCCCTCGCTGGAACAGATCACCAACAAGCTTCACATGGGCTCTGATGTTGCTGGTGCGACTTTTATGGCGGCTGAAAGCTCTGCCCCTCCGTTGTTTGCTTCGTTAATTGTTCGTGTTTGATTTGGTTTGCTTGATCAGGCAAAGTGAACGATGTTCCTCGCGCTCGGTACGTTTTCCTTGACCAGGCGAAATAAATTAACGTTTTAGGGAAGGGAAAATGGTGACGGACTCCTATGATTTTCTAATGAATTCTTCAAATATAATTCTGATCCTGACGATCTCGGTCACTTTACCAAAATAGAACATCTAAAGCGGGTATATCAAAGACATTCAGACAGTTGCAAAGGAAACTCAAGACAAAGCCAAGAATAGCGTGACATTTAAAGCAAGAGACAATTATTCTAATGACATGCAACAGGGGAATCCCCTCTTGATACAACAGATGGTGATGTGGTTTCCTCGAAGTAACATTTTAATCACTGCAAGGAATTTAAAGGTTGACGCTCGAGAAGAAATTTAACATTATCAACTTACAGCAGAAAAATACAATGGCTTCAAAGTCGGTAATACATTAAGACTACGGGACGAGTTAACTTTAGAAACTCTTTACCGTGACCAATTTAGAGCAACTTGGAACACTCTTGTTCCAAGTTGTGCGCACAACTTGGAAATGGAGTGTCCCAAATGGAGCGCACAACTTGGAACTGGAGTGCTCCAAGTTATGCGCGCAACTTGGAACTGGAGTGTTCCAAGTTGTGCGCGTTCTTCTCTAATGATTCCCTGGTTAATTTATCAATTAATTCCTTTATTAATTCCCTTTGTCTTCCTTTGTCTCTAAAATATCGGTAGAAGTACATAAAGCAATGGAATGTGGTGTATTTTCGCCAAATACCAACTTAGCCCGTTTCCTTAATGACGTCAATACAGCAACTCGACGGTTTTTATTGGCTGTCGGTCTTATTGACTTCACTACGTCAACACAGTTTCTTTTCAGTCCGGTACTGGATGAATTGTAGTGAAAGTCTTGAGTTTGGTATCTGACGAACTTGATAAAATGTCCCTCAAAAAGCTTCTTATTTGTTTAGTATGCGGTGCCATAAGCGGGGTTATCGTGGCATGGCTTTTCCTTAAATTTTTGGAGAGTGAAGGATCTCAGCTAAGAGGAGGACATAAGGAGATGAAAGAAGTGAAAGACGAACGAGATGATCGTAATAATCTCGCGGCTAAGCTGCCTGAAGAAAATGATGATAGGCCTAAGAAGAGAGCTCAAGAACATGAAGAAAGGCTCTAATAAGGTGGGCTTTTATTGTATTATTTTATTTCCAATGTCAAACCTATAGACGGAAACGTGAACATTTCGCGCTGTATGGCCTGTCAAAAGTTTTCTTTTAGTTGAACAACTTTTTGGTGTTTTGTTTCTGCTCTAGGCTCAATTAAATTTGTATATCATATATGGCCTTACACCTGACCAGGCGTAATTTTTTCGTTGTTGACAGCATTTAATGAAATTGTAATTATATCCAAGATGTTACAGTGGTCAAAGGGTCAGACCATTTCCGGTCATTTGGATTCCCATGTTTTTTTATTGTTTATGTTCGTTGAAGATCGGTGAGATTATATATGCGGTGGCTTCAGTGCAAACAGTCTGCAATTAGCGCTCGTTATTGGTCTGTTGCGCGAGAAGCACGTGTGCCGATAAGCATATTTGTGTAAAGGTCATTTTTTGGCATTCTCGTGGTCTCTAAATAAAGAAAGAACAAAAACCCAAGTAATACGATTTTTGTCTTTCAGTCAACAGATACAAAGAACTATCAAGAAAGGATGTATGCTGTAGCTGGCATTTGCTGTGGGAACCTAAGACATTTAGAACTGAGAACTGTATATGTGTGATACAAATTATTTGTAATATGTTAAACTTTTTTACTGTAGGTTTTGGAATTTTCACTGATCGTTTAGTAAATGGAACACTAAGTCATGTCATTTCAGTTTTAGTTCAAGTTGAGTGATCGTAAACATTGAAGTATTTTTCATTGTTCGCGTGTTATTTGTTTCCAAGACTGAGCTAAGTGAATAAAGTTGTTTGTGCTTGATTTGGTTTGCTTGATCAGGCAAAGTGAATAATATTCCTCATGCTTGGTACGTTTTCCTTGGCCAGGCGAAATAAAACGACGTTTTAGGGAAAGAAAAAAGATGACGAACCCCTATTGATATTTTATTGTTTGGTGGAAAACTTACTTTGATGCTACCTTTCTAGGAGATTTTTATACCTTCAGTTTTAGTTCAAGTTGAGTGATCGTAAACATTGAAGAACTTTTCATTGTTCGCGCGTAATTTGTTTCCAAGACTGAGCTAAATGAATAAAGTTGTTTGTGCTTGATTTGGTTTGCTTGATCAGGCAAAGTGAATAATATTCCTCATGCTTGGTACGTTTTCCTTGGCCAGGCGTAATAAAACGACGTTTTAGGGAAAGAAAAAAGATAACGAACCCCTACGATTTTTAATGAGTTGTACTCGTACAATTCTGATCCTGACGATCTCGGTCACTTTACCAAAATAGAACATCTAAAGCGGACATATCAAAGACATTCAGACAGTTGCAAAGGAACGCCAACGAACGTAGTATTTCTGTGCAAGTCTTTGAACATCTAGTCGACAGTTGTGACATAAAATGACGTTTTTCAACGTTTCTTCATATTAGCCCTAATCTGTGGAATCTGTATTAAGCAGTCAACCTATTGGCGTTCATCCCGCCCATTCCCGTGGGTGACCGCTTAATAAAGGTTTGACTGAAATTCGTCAGTCACCATTTCTGTGAGGCGTGTTTTGAGTATGCTTTACTCTGGCTTTGTCTCCGAGTCTCCACCCATGCATATGACTGTCATATTTTAAGTTAAGCATATTTATCACGCTAGTTCCTCACTGGATTAACATGATCACGTCGCATACGGTCTTCTTGTATCCGATTCGGTCGTTTCATTGCCATATGTGAAGACTGACGTATTTTTCGTACTAGATTTGCTATGGTTATTTGTGCGGTTTGAGTCCTCATACGTCAAATATTAAAGGGCATGTAAACCCAAAAAACGTTCATTTTCTTTTCACATGAATGTTTAGTAAGTATATCAAGTACACCAAAGGTGCCATTCGTTTTTTCTCAAAAGTCCATTTTCACTTTGAAAAAGCTCTTCCAAATTCGAAACATTCGCCATTTTGAATGGCGCCATCTTTCTTGTGACGTCACGGGTGGAACCTACAAAGTTTCGTTTAATAATCGCGTGAGACACGGAGTCTTTTCCACAGCCGTTGTTTGCCGGTCTCGTCACGATTTTTTTACTTACAGTTTGCTTCAATATACTCAGTTTTTTCATAATGGTAAAGCGTTGTGTCGTCCAGTTTTGTACTGATTCAAACAAAACTGAGCATACAACGCAAATATTTCCAAATGATGCAAATTTGAAGCCACAATTTGTGAAACTTGTTCAAATGAAAATAGCCGATTTCGTCGAGCCGTTCGAACATTCTGTTGTTTGTAGCAGTCATTTTTCTTCCTGGTGTTGTACCGACAATTCAGGCCCTACCAGAAGCAAATTATTCGGAAGTATAAACAGCTAGTTGTAGTACTGTATTATTAAATCAATGACAGAAACAACTCAAGCAAATCGAAATGTAAACCAAACAGATGAAACGGAAAACATTTAGCTTACTCGTTTCCGGTGTGATTCTCTGTGCCTTACTGCTGCCTGTACGTGTAATAGGTCGTCTCTAGCACCCAGAAATCGAGGCAATTGACTAAAAACCTGGATACTCAGTGATACAACTTATCTGGGTTTCAGACCCTCGCTCCTCTACTTTTTGCCACAATTGCCCGATTTCCGTACAACAAACACTTTCACGAGTTGTCGGCATTGGTTGACAAGTTCCGCACTCGTACCTACTACAATTTTATACAAAACAACCTCGGAAGCTCAGCGGGTTAAAAAAATTTATGTTGCATTCTTTTAGATTGTGCCCTTGCTTTATTGGATTTTCATATCAAATACAAGTAAATCACACAGTAAATTAGATACCAGTCTGAGTTTCCGAGGAGGTCGCATCCCTGTCAACACTGTGTTCGTGCGGATCGCTTCGGTGAACCCTACGCAGCTCATAATGTTAAGGACGTGGCCCAGACTCTCCTAAAGATTCTAGACCATCCCCATCGCCGTCATATACTAAGCTTAGGGCATTCGAGTCACTATCTTCTGAAAAACATCTTCGAACTACCGCTACTTACACGAGCTACCACACCAGTTCTACTAGGGAATATGTGTTGCGCAATATTTTAGTTCCACCGCTTACGTCACGACTCTCGCTATTGTTTTTACCGGAAATGGAATTTCAGTTGAAAATGCCGATTTTCTCCTAAAATAAGTCGAATTGGACAAAACGAATTTCAGATTCGTTCTCTACGCCACTTTTTACATAGTATGAGAAAAACATGTATTTTTGGGTTTACATGCCCTTTAAACGAGAGAAACCTTAAATAATTGTGTGACTCTTATTTCATCATGATCAAGCTCCCCTTGCCCTACACCTGGCTGGAGGCTTTATGTCGAGACAGCACAACAAGCTATTCCTTGAAAGAGCAGCACTTACTCGGATTAAATCAAATTAACTTTGTAATGGGGTGTCATTTGATGGAGGGAAACTGTCAAAGCTACAGCCCTCTGTTGCCATTTCATGGCTACATATTATTTTTATATCTGTCATCGTTGTCCAGAATGTAAGGAGCAGAAATCTTTCCAATAACATTTGAAGTCTCTGATCTGACTGTTCTCGATATGACCTCTTCTGTTGCGCTTTTTTTTTTGTCAAGAACTTTATCGCAATCTTTTAGCGCGCTTGGTTGTCTCAAGAAAACAACGGATTTGGCGTTTTCGGTTTGAGTGCGTTGTTACGTACCAAAACAACTTAATATGCGAGGTAAAAGCATTCAAAGCCAATCCTGAGGATTTAAAACGTCAGTTATTTGTATTCTATCATGTAAATAAAAGGAAACAAATAGGTATCATGCTAAATATTACCCTGGTCCCTTCTATGTCTTCTATGATAACAAAACACGGAAATTAGCATATGCTAATTGATAAGCTTCAAGAGTGTTGGCGTGAGTGACATGAGAAGGCCGCTATTTTAAGAACAAAATAAAATCCTATCGTTCAGCCCATTTGAACTGGTGCCAGATGTGTTGGGGCGAAGGCTGGTGTAGTAGAAAGGCAAGCGTGTCGGTCTGTTAGTAGTAGATAAAATATTCATTTTCGAGGTTCATTCGATAACCCTGCCAGAGATGGAACAATTTTTATGTGGTGCACTCTTTGGTGCATTTCTTGGTGTAATTGTGGCAATCCTGTTCTTGAAGCTGTGGAAGACTGAAGAAAGAGTGAAAGAGAGGGGAAGAAGACGACCGAGTGGATGTAATAACCCGCCTGAGAAGCAGCCTGTAGAAAATGACGAGAGACCCGCCAAGATGCCTCAAGAACACGAAGAGAAGTTTTAGATCAAATGTGAGTATAAATTTGTCACTGAAAAATTTGTTTCTAAAACCGTAGGATGCCAAATAAATATTGGGTGATGTGGAAAGTGCTTACAGGTACATGAAAGTGATCATTTTAGACGAATTATTAAAATTGCTAAAATTTTTGATGACCCCCGAACCCCTCTAACGCTGATTACAATTTATTCATGACTGAGTAGAGTGCACTTCCAGCCTGTAAATAATTAAGATGATGAGATCACAAACTCTATCTGATAAGTTTAAGTTTTCTCATTACCTGTTTGCTGGATAATGTATGGACATTACAGTGAGAAGTTACATTTCAATCGCTTCTGATATTTTATAGGTTAATAGGTTAAAATTCTGTCGAATGGAAACGTCGCATCAAATTTAAGCTTAAAGAGCGCAAATAGCCAAAAGGAAAATTTAAAATCTGAAATTTCGCTTGCCGTAGCTCTGAACCGCATAGATGTCATTTCCGTCTAGGCTTCTGCTTGTGCTTGAAAGATTAATTCGGAATACATTCGGCAGTGTAATGAATAACAAATTAGAATAGAATTGGTAATTTTATATTTTTTGTTTTATTCGACAGAAACCGGGAGCGCTGAGATCAAATTTCCTGGCATTTCTACATGCTGTTTTAATGTACGAGAATAAAGCTACAAACTGTAAATGTGTGATTTAACACGTGTCACAGCGGGTTATGATTGATTTCTTGTAGTCGGATGAATGAATCGTTTTTATCATTATCAGTAACGTTTAGAACTTGAAGTATCAGTCGCGCGTATATGATTGTGAATTGTTTGTTTTATTAGGAGTTTTTCTTTATTTTCATTGTAATTTTTTTGTTTGATTTACAATTGACTTCCTTTCGTTTAAACGAATTGTGAACTTAAACTTACAGTTCGTGTCGCTTTAAATAAATAAACAAACCTGTATGTCTTGTATTAATTTTCACGGTCTGAACAACTTTACCTGTAGCTGAAAGACTGATGCTTGGCAATTTTGAGGAATGAAAAGGAGCGGTCTTTGTTTTCAGAGAGTTATTTATCAGAAGTTCTACTCCGAAGATTTTGGGAAGAATACCGAAAGATGCGTCACTTGAAAATTACCTGAACTGTTTCCTTTTACGATTGAGAACGAAAGGTAAGCAAACGATTGCGTGACTTCCAAATTGACAGTTCCTTATGCAAATTATTTTGTGAAAAGTTTCGGGGATTCCCCTACCATAAATGACGTCATGTCTCACTTGAGAGGTCGCCTATAGCACAGAATCAAAAGAGGAAATTTGAACTAAAGTAAAACCTAGACTTGGTGTGAAATTAATCCCGTGTACGTGTTATAAACGTGTTAATGACAGGAATGGAATTGCTAAAAGGAGTTATGAAAATGTCATTCAGGAGATGAATTCTTTTTTTTAATTAGTAACTTGCTTGTTCACACACGATAACAAGCTTTTTGATATTACCAGCAGAAAAAAAGCTTATTACGAAATTGTTCGTCGCTGATACTGGAATGCCTGTACTTACACTCTGCTCGCTTCTTCTCTTTAATGCCGGAAAGCGGATTTTTTTGCAAAGAACTGAGAATTAAAGTATGGTTGCCTGGAGGCTCAGAGTATTCTGAAGTGTAGTTACAGCATTTAAAATTATTAGGTAGCGCATTCACTTCACTAACTTAAACTGTTTCGAAGTGAAATAAAGTAAATACTCGTTTTGTCACTAGCGTCATACAAAGAAAGACTCCGTGTCTCACCCTCACAAAATATCAAATCCTCTACCGTCGAATTTAACCATCGAATGCTCTGACACGAAGCTGCAGAGAACTCGATGGTGAGCTGGACCGTTAGTAGGGCTAACGCTCGAAATGTCAGCTTTTTTTACCCTTTACTGTGGCCAATTTACGTTTTCAACTCAGTTGTTAACACTATATTACCCGTTAGTAGGCTCCTTTGGATTAAAAAGACATTAGAGTGGTTTAGCAAGAGGACGGGAACGTTATTTCAGAACGGCGCGCGTAGCAAAAATGTCGATAAGAAACTGGGTCGAGAACGCCGTCGCGTTGTGTTGAAAGATGTAGCAGTCGTTGCAACGAGAATCATCACTTCGGCTTTTTAAAGATCACCATCACCTTTGAATTTTCGGTTCTATAGACCACTCTAAGGACAACGAAATTATCTTTTTTGAGAGTTATATAACAAGCGCAAACAGAGGATAGTTATAGATACGGCAAGTAAGTTGTTGATATGAATCCACATGGGCGATTGAACTTTAAAATTAGTCCATTTCAGTTTAGTCTCGAGTCTGATGATCATCTATTAAATTTTGAAGCCCACGAAATAGCTTTTTTTCTATGATTTGTGTCGCTGTCATTTCCTTTCGTGCTACTAGATTTCAGCACTATTCGATTTTCTTCATAATTTTGCAAAGGATAATTTGGAAATCGTCGTCGTTTTTCCCCTTGTTTACTGAATATTCTTTTGAGCACCACCTTCTTAGAGTTGAAATACATTTTGAACGGAATTATCAGAAGTTATAGCGAAAAAATGTAGAAACCAAGCGACCCAACGATGGAGTTGTTTACGATGAGTTCCTATTTATCCGTGAAAGAATGAAATTAACTCAAGCTAGTCACCAACGAAACGGTTAGACTTAGGAGTAAGACTTCGTTCCTGTTTTGTTTTGTTTTGTTTTGTTTTTTTTCGTTTTTGTTTAATTTAATTTTTTTTAAACGAATGAAGTCGTTCAAGACTGAATCAAATTAATAGATTCAGAAAGCCGTGCCGAAATCAAGTTGATTGTCATTTTATTTCGAAGCGAGAGCACGACTTTCTTGTCTTAGTTTTCACCGGCCCTGATCAAAAAATTTCAAACATAAAAAAGTGCATACCTGAGCTATTCTCAATTTTTTTTCATCTCTGACTTCAATTCGCAGAAAATTTTTCAATCACGGTAAAAACGACAATAACAAAAAATAATACTGAATAATACAATAAGTAAGCGTCTTACTTACCGATTGGGTTCCACAAATACTTTGCGCTTAGTGGTAAAACTGCAAGCGACTAAAAACCAAGCATAGAACGTTCCCCAGTTTTTGGGAAGTAGATGATGTAACTAACACAATGTTTACTCTTTGACATCACGGCGGCTATATTGTTTAATTTACCTGAACAAATAAACTTTGATGGCTAATTCAGTATTCTCGGAAATTTATCTATTTTCCTTTGTAAACGCACGCGCGCAAATAAAAGGTAAAACTGATTAAGACGTAAAGTTGCTCAAAGGTAAATTAAATGTATATTAATTAAAAACCCTCTTTTGTGCCAAGAAAGAGACCACTTAAAGGATGCTAAAAGATTTACGTTATTAAAGTTCACCTTATGTTAAAGATTCATGAAAGGTCGCGGTTAGCTTTTGGATATTTCGGTTTAGAATTAAAGACGCCTAAAGCTTAAGTCAACCTTTAGGGATGCTTTAGGTTTTGCTTAAAGACACTGAAATAAGAGCATTCGTCCTGTGTAAAATGATTGACACAATGGACTTCACCTACTCTTCTGTTAAGGTAAAACACGAACAAAGCGCGTTCTTGTGATCATGAAGCGAGTGATTTACACCCGTCCGGTAAACCGATAGAAAGTGGGATATATTGTATTTATAATAAACTTAAAACAAAACACAATATATTTCAATTTTCTATGGGTCCAAGCGACAGATTATTTGGCCAATCAGGGCGCTCGTAGTTTCTCAGTTATTTCATTGATAGGGTATTTGGTTTTAATAACTGCGCTGATAACGTGAATTGGCCACCGCTACGAGTTTCAAAGCTGACGAGGGATAACGCTCGAACGTCAGCTCTGAACTCCTTACGATGGCCAATTTCACGTTATCAACTCAGTTGATAAAACAAAATCACCCTGTTATACTCTCCCACCGACGCAACACCACAGTCTCTTTAGAAACCTACCCCATTAATGTTATAAATAGCCTGATTTATTAGATCTTTTGCCAAGTTGTTGTTCTTTTTCCTGTCATCCTGTATGTGAATGTGTGTGGGTCCTCAGTTTGCACATCAGTACCAAATGCTCTGAAATATCACCAAAATTAATCATCAAGATCTATTGCTAAAGCTGCAGTTAAAAAAACTACATAGTCGTTTTGTTTCTCTTCCTCTTTCGTACAGGAGCTTCGTGAACTTGTTGGTCTTCATCATGACGTTCAGCTTCTCTGTCTTGAGTTACACGTGAAACAGTTTGTTGGTGAAAGGCTGTTGCTTTTACTGGAGAAAATGGACCCGATTGACAGGTGAGACAGCACAGCTACAAGTTAAAATATAATTTTTATTTACATCAAATATTGATGTAAATATTTCGATAAAGTTTGCTTCACAAGGCAGGATCATTCAATTGAAAGTTGATAGTTAAGGCGAAATGACGGTTGAAAGCTTTGAAAATGATCGAAGAGAGACAATGAAGTCATCGAAATTGTACGGTTTGGATCATTGCCGTATTCCAACCACCCAGCATTTTCCAGAAAATTTTGAGAAACCGCAAGATTTTACAACAGGCAAAGTTTAAATCTCGAAACCGGTAAAAATGCTGTAAATGTTTGTTTTTTCGTCCTGATTACTCAAAACAAACTCTGTGATAATCAGATTTTTATTCTGAGAAAAGAAAACTAGATAGATAAAAGATAAATGGATAAATGAGTTTATAAAAACGACTTAAAGAAAGATACCCTTGAGCTGCGTGGCACTGAGTAGCAAAGTATTCAGTAAACATGAAAAGAAAGGTGCCATGTTTTGGATGATGGTTTCAAAAATTTTGGGTCCGGCCTTTCATCAGTGTTAAAAAAAGGCTCGTTGAATAATAATTGTTAACCAAATGAAATGAAATGACATACATTGAAATCATTTTTTTTCCTTTTGCTGTTTTTACCATTGCCTTTTTCTCTTCAGTGAATTCCTTCGTTTGTATCTTCTGGTTCATGGTCTTCTTTGTGGAAGAGGCAAAGTTTTTCCAGCCATGGTCCTCGATAATATCTAACGGGCGTAAGCTAAGTTTCATGGTACCGTTGTCTTCGCAGCAAATTTGGAAAACTGTTCGTCTAAGGCTATCGTCTTTTCGTCTTGGGCTATCTCACAACTGCGACTTCTGTGACGCTATATTCTTGATAAATAACTTTCATCAAAAGGTTGTTAGATCCATTCGCGACCCTTACTCTGTAGAGGATCGTAGCCAAAAGATTCCCCCGTAAATGAAGTTTATTCTGGGTTGTTATGCTCTGTCGCGCCTCGCGTAAAACTGAACACATTATGACCAAAGACCTCAGTCAGTGTACTGCTACTCATGGCGCTGTTCAAAGTGTTTGACAGACAATGATCAGAAAGGCGGAATTCTATTACTCTTAAATTAGGTGTGCCTTTCCTTTAGTAACCTTTTGTGTTCTTTGTGGATTTTACGGTTTCGAACCCATTCAAAGTAGAGCAAGGTTATGAGTTAAACCAAACAAGATAATAATGAAGAACAAGTTATGCTGCGTTGGTGGTCAAGTGAAACACTAATTTGATTATTAACTGTAAATGAATAAAGAGAGATTAACTGGGAGCTGGTCACTATGTTGGATCCAAATAAACCTTCGAAGTGGCGAATAATGGCTATAAACATATGAAATTCATTTGTGCGCACTGCGGTTGAAGAAACGAATATAGAATCGATCCTCGCAGTTACTGCTAGTTCAGTAGTGTTCATAACTGCAAGGATCGATCCTATATTTGTTTCTTCAACCGCAGTGCACAAAAATGATTTTCATATGTTTCCAGCTATTGTAAATGGATTTTATCCATTTATTAAGACCATGGAACAAAGAAAGAATATGACCCTCCTTCGAGGTTTCGAAACTCAAGTGACACACTATTTGATTATCAACTAGAAGTGGGTAAAGAGAGATTAACTGGGAGCTGGTCGTTATGTTGGATCCAAATAAACCTTCAAAGTGGTGAATAATGGCTGTTATCAGCGGATAAAGGGAAATTAACTTTGAAATACAACGAGCCGAAACGACCAGACTACACATGGCGATAATGTGGGAACATGCAAAAGGAATTAGAATGACTGTCACGCCCTTATAGTCAGCTGAAAGACATCCGGTGTTTGATTTGAATAATGTGGGAACATATAAATGAATGTTATTCATTTATTAGGAGCGTGAAACGGGGTTTCGAATCTCCATACCCCAACCAACCAAGCGCAACGTACATGTTTGAGGTCTTTATTCTTAATTAGTCTTCACGTATAGTAAAATTGTGGATGAAATCTTCTTGAAATTGCCTTCTCCCCTTGGAAAAAGTTTCGTGTTTAGAACCTGTCATTTGGTTTTAAACGAATTGAAACTCCCTAAAATTATACATAAGCATACTTCTGATGGTATTGTCTTGCTGATATCAAACAATACCAACAACCCAGTGTTGCTGATCACACGACAAACATTGCATGTGAAATGAAAACCAAAGAAAAGGAAAATGTCTTATTCCTCAAATTTTGCAGCTTAAAAAAAATTACTGAAAGTTACAGCCTTGATTCTGAAAAGAGAAATTGTTTTCTTCGAGCACACACAAATCAACTGAAATAAAAATTGCAAATTAAGCTTCTCTGAAAACATTGAAAAGATAAATGGTGCAAAGTTCTTGTGAAAGACACCAGAAAACAATGTCAGTATCTGACCGTTTGCGCACCTACCCCTCCCCTAACCCAACAGCAGTCAACTGACTGCAAGTAAGGATTAGTATCGGGTTAAGGGAGGGGTAGGTACGCAGTTGCTCGGACTCTAGCTATGACCTTGAACAAATATGTATCTTGTTATCAACGAACATAAGGTGACGAATCCCAGTTTCAATTCATCCTTGAAAACTTCCTCAAAAAGATTAAATGGAGTCGCAATCAAATAAAATAACCAATTTTTTTTACCTTTGGTTGAAATTTATGTGAGGAAATGATCCTCATCGGTAAGATGCAATTAAAGAAATTGCTGAAAAGAATCCTAAAAAAGTTCGGGTTAGTTGTTATCTTGATCTGACACCAAATTCTCGCGATCGTCAACAATTTACAAGTAAATGTATAGCAGCTAAAGGAAGAATTAGTTAATCAGATCTTGAGAGTTATGTCCCCTGTATAGTTTCGAAACGTGCCGCTACAAAGTCTCGAAACATCGACATCAACTTCCTTTCTTCTCAATTATAAAATTCACGACAACTAATAATCATTTCATAAAAGCAACGAGACTTTCCCTAAATTAGTCTAACTAGTTGTTCGACGCCTTTGAAAAATAACTTTAACAGTTGTTTGTCAAGATAACCTGGGAGAGAATTCCTTAAGCTTACGTGCTGCTGCCCTAGCAGCCGGACCGTTCACACGGTTTGGTCTTGAGTCAAGAATGTAGGAGATGAGGCGAGGAAAGTGTCATTTAAAAGGTAAAAAACACGAATGTATGTTTAACACTGAGTCACTGGCCTTTCCTTGAGCCACTTAACTGACAGAAAACAACAACAATAAAATATCGTCTGAGCAAGTTAACATCGAATACAAAAGCGGAGAGCAATAAAATCCTTCGCTTCAGACACCAAGCTAAGACATTTGACGTTTAGACAAGGCACCATGAGAAGCAATACGCTGATAGAGGTGTTTGGCCATATCGTATTCAGTTTTACACGAGGCGTGACAGAGCATTACAACCCGGAAGAACCTGGATTAATGGCTTTTGGCTACGATCCTCTACAGAAGACTGGTTTAGAATGGAACTATCAACCTGTTGAGGAGGTTACTTATCAGGAATACAGCGAGAGAGAAGCAACTAGCTTGGACTATTTAATGGCTTGCAGTCCTAAGGTAAGAGTCATAAACGCATTCTCATCAGACGACGATGAAGAATCACACGAAAACAACTCACAAGATGATGAAGATAGAGCAATGGCGTGGAAGCGATTAAGACCATCCGCTCTCCACACTGCTTGGAAATCAATGTACTTTGGAGCCTCGATCTCACTTCTAACTGCTACCGTCATAGGTTCACTATACATATTGATTTCATTTCTACTGTACAAAACTGTAAACAACTGCGGATTTTACCCAAAGAAATCCATTCCTGTGAAAGTTCAATGGTTAAGATCAATATCAGATGTAACGTGTTGTAGCATCATGTATAATAATTTATTTTTGGTAGTTCTATTTCTCTTTCGACCTTATCAGATCAAGGGAATAAGAAAAAAACTTATTTCATTGAGCTGCGGTGGATTTCTATTGGATGCACTTTACCGCGTGTCTCTTCAAGCCCTCGGAATATCCCATTCTAAACTTTCTACGATACAAAAGCTTCCACCGTACTTTCTTGGTGTTGTAATTATATCTTGGCAAATACATCTCGTAACGAATCATTTTTTTCTCGTTTCACGACAATCAACAAGGCAGAGGATTACGATTTTCTTTCAAGTGGCAATTGTTCCTGTATCTATTATCATTCTTGCAATTCCGGTGGCCGAGATCATCTACCCAACTTTTAATAAACAAACCAAGAATGGAAAACTATTAATCGCTCTCTTTGCGCCTCTAATTGGAGTCGTTCTAAAGGTTACCTCTCGAATTTGTGTTCAGCGGCTTCACTGGGATATCATTCATCCGGGATATTTATATGTCTTACTGGCGCCGTTGTTCGGCTCTTCGGCGATCATGTTTCGCGTTTTACAAGCAGATCTCGGCAGTTTACAATCCATCGCGATTCTAGGGATAACTCACGGGACTGTGGAAGTAATCGAAAGAAGCGCAATGGTCTTTATTGATCATATTTGCCACTCGATTTGGAAAAGAACAGCCGCTCCTTGGGGAAGTTTTCGCACTCCTCGCCGTGAGAGGCTAATGGCTGATATTGCTATTATGAGCATGCTGTTTGAATCAACTGCTATAGTTTCCGTTAACGGCTGCTTGTATTTGTATAAGTTCAATTTCCTTCAAAACACCTCCTTATTAGAGGTGTTGGAGCCTTTTGCTCTAACAACTTGTCTTCAGTTGGTGATTGAGTGGTTTTTCACCAGCGTATCCCTCGCGATCGAGACTCACTATCAGAACATGGCTGTTATGGCTGTTTGGCGAAGAAGATGGAAAAGACATACTTCAGTAGCACTTACAACTTCTGTGCTCATAGCATTATGGACTAGCACACTTCTGTTAATTATTGTGCGTGGTAGATTTCAAGAGTCTTCGAAGCAACCTTGTAAGATGCCGTTTACTTAGAACTGAAGAATGAAGCATAGAAAACACCAAGTCTTCTGCAGGTTTACAGTCGTTTCGATATAACTTTAGTGAGAGTAGTCATGTAACCTACGCAGCCAATGAATCGAATCGACTTTGTTGATGTATCAAATCGACTTGTATCGAATCAACTTTAAAGATAAATCTTGCCCATAAGTCTCGAATTTTAATGTTTAAGATAGAACTATGCACTTGACAGGATTGTGCGTTTAGTTATAACAGTGCTTTTATCAAGACATGCATGTTGGAAAAACCCGTATAGGTAATGACATAATTATAAAATACTCAATGTAATACAGAGTACAAAATGAAATGGAGATATTTTGACATTATAATATCATTAACAATAGATGTCGTGATTAGAATCGTCCAATTTATCAAATCTAATGCACGTAACTGTACAATAATCAATTATTATTTGTATATACATATGAGATGGAATGTCAATAATGACAGGAGATTAAGTTTAGAGATAAAACAAAAGATTGCGTGGGCAGACGGAAGTAGATTCGTACATATACGATCTACATTCAAATAACTCAGAAAAATCCTGTCATCTCATGAGAAGACACACAGGACTTGCACTGTAAGTATCCCGGAGAGCTCCATACAATTCCTTATAATAAAATTATAAGGAATTGTAATGTGGTATGTCGAGTTTGGTTTCATGGCAAATTTTGCTTAACAAAAGGTAACTAAACAGGTTTACAACGCGAAAACGCAGCTATCTTTCATGCATAATGGTT